TAAATGAATTTGTTCTAACAGCATCGTCCTTAATTTTTCGGGAACCACTACTCTATACCCCCATAGAATGCATCCATGTTCAAGGTGCAACTCGTCTCGTTTTATATAGTATTGTTCACATTTTTCTAAAATCTCACCTTTTTCGGGCCAACCATGTAAACAATATTTATAAATTACGTTTAAAATATGATCTTTTTTTGTGAAAATAGCTATTTTTTTATAATCTATTGGAAGATTTTCCTCTAAATAAAAAATGTGTGAGTAGTCATATTTGGTTTCTAGTGTGCTTTTAAGTGGTAACCGTGATAAGGCATCAGCATGATTTTTTTCCGATGCAATGTATTTAATTTCGTAATTATAATTACTTAATATTATACTCCATCGTTGAAGTCTACCAGCTGCATACAACGGTATGCCCTTTTTACTCCCAAAAATGTGAACTAAAGCCTTATTGTCACATAACAAAGTAAAAAATCGTCCAAATAGATAATCATTAAACAGAATATAATAGCAGCGCCCTCTTTGTCGAGTTGACTATATGATTTTTCTGCAACAGAAAGGGTGCGTGAGGCAAAAGCAATGGGGCGCGAGTCTCCATTTGGGTAGGTATGAGAAATAACACCTCCCACAGCAAAAGAACTCGCATCCGCAGCTAACGTTATCGGTAAATTGGGGTCATAATGTGCCAGTATTTTTGGTGACGCTAATTCATTTTTTATAGCCTCAAAGCACGCGGTTTGTTGCTTACCCCATTGCCACTTCCTATTTTTTTTTAGAAGCAAATGAAGTGGGTATAACTTATCACTAAGATTTTTTATGAATTTACCATAAAAATTTATAAGTCCTAAAAAAGACTTTAAACTAGTTATATCGGTGGGCTGTGGAGCTTTAATTATAGCTTCGACTTTATCATCCGAAGTAGATAGACCCTCTCTATTTATTGTATAACCCAAAAATTTTATTTCTTTTTTAAAGAAACTACATTTATTTATTTTTACTCTCAACCCACATTCTTTAAGAATGTTAAATACGTTAAATATATTTTCTAGATGTTGTTCGGAATTTTTGCCAGTAATTAATACGTCGTCCAAAAAAATTGCTACGTTGTCTATGCCCGCAAAAATATTATCAATTATCCTTTGAAAAATACCAGGGCTGGAAGCAACACCGTATGGCAACCGATTCATTTGAAACAATCCTACTGACTGCGCCAGTGTAATATCCCTAGTTTCCTTATGAACACAATCCGTGGAGCCGAATACATTTGGATTTTCTGGGACCACTATTTGGAATTAAATATTTAATTTTAATTGATTCTTTTAGCAAATGGCCTGAAATTTTCAGAATAAATATCGGGGATGCAAAAAATGTAATTAAAATTTTAAATAAATTATTCTCAACATTTGGTCTGCCTACCAAAATCGTCTCCGATAACGGGCCTCCATTTTCTTCAAAAGAATTTCGGGACTATTTAAAATCAAACGGTATTAGACAAATATTTTCTACCCCAAAACACGCGGCCAGTAATGGCCAAGCAGAAAATACTGTAAAAACTTTTAAAGTGGCTTTAAAAAAGGCAGTTTTCGAAAATAAAAATATTGATGATTTTCTTACTCAATTTCTATTTGACTATCGCAACACGCCTCATTGCACAACGGGAGAAACTCCTGCTAAATTAATGTTTCAAAGAAAAATTCGGGGAAAATTAGATCTTTTAATACCAGATTCTAGGAAAATTGTAGAAGAAAGGATTGAAAAGCAAAAGGAATATTACGGGGGCATTTCAAAGACTTTTGATGTTGGGGAGAAAGTTTATTTAAGGGATTTTAGAGATCCACACCGTCCAGCTTGGACTGAAGGGGAGGTAACCGGCAGAGAAGGTTCGGTAATTTTTGAGGTCAAAACGAATGACGGGAAAGATTATCGGCGTCATGCTAATCAGCTTAGAGCATCTCTCTCTCTGCTAAAACAGTCGATAATAAACTGTCTATTGATAGTACCGATGTAGAAAATATTGCGAATACAAACAGTTTTGATTCTTCGGCATGTATGAATAAAAAGTCTGAAGAAAATATCAGCAATCCTGAGAGTTCTGAAGCAGGATCGTCTAGGTATTTTCTAAGACCTAGATAATATTGTTATAGTATAAAAATGTTAACATAGTAGTTTGAAATTGTTCTTCAGTTTGTTTTCCTTTCCTTCCTATTTTGTATAAAGCTAAATTTAGCGAGTGAAAAGTGTTAAGTGCGATAACAAAGTTTTCTTTTTCAGCCTAATACACATTTTAGTGAAATTATCTTTTATGTATGTAGGTATGTTTCATTTTTAGGGTGAGAATGTGTAATGTATTAAATAAACTGTATTATTATATATGGACATCACCCTATACAATTAATTTCTATTCTGGTATCTTGTACTGTTTTTTACTGTATGGCGATAACGTCGGCTTCAATGTGGAATCACGGAATAAAGGCACTTTCAATTCAGCATTTAATTGAGTTTTATTATAATTAAGAAGTACGGGAAAAATAATAAAATAATTGTAGTTCTTAAGGAAACTAGGGATATTACATATGTAATTCATTTTTTAAAAAGAACTCATGTACAAATCTTCTAACAGCATTTTTGAACCCCTCATCAAATGTTTTTAGAAGTCCGGGTCTTCCACCTATATTTTTTGGACTAGATATGGTTCCACTTTTACGGTATTCTTTTAATACCCGGTAAACTGTTGACTTTACAACTCCTGTAAAAATTTTTGGGTATTTAATATCATTTTTAATTTGAAAGTAATGAGTAGGTATAACTTACCGGCGGCTTGAGAAATTTTGGATACAACATCCACAATTTTGGTTTTTGGTTTATCATCCAACACCTGTTTGTACATATTTATTATGTGCTGTTTTTCTGCGAGACTTAAATGGCCTAAACTCAAACGTTTTCGCTGTTTTGGTGGACTAGGCAAGGAACTGCTATCTCTACTAGTACTCGGTGTAGAATTATCCATAATCGCAGATATTCAATACAATTGCTTACCGAAGTTCTGAAAAGAACTGTTTTTTAAAGAAATAGAGTGAAAAATTAAGTAATAATGATAAGAGATCAAACAAAAACCGAAAGCAATAACAGAACTAAAAATATAAATAAAATGTCACAAGTGTCAATAATGTCAGTTATCAGCTGATGTTAATGCAAAAGGTGTGCAAAAGTGATGTGTGAAACTGGCTGCAATCTGACCAATCAGAAGTCTCCAGAATTGCCAACTTAAATTCAAATCGCTCCTCCTGGTTTTTAAACAGACTATAGGTGACTACTAAATATAGACCATTATTTCTGGTAATAACGAAACCCTTACTTACACTGGATTACCTGAATAAAAATGCAAGAGTATTGTTAAATACAAGAATTACGTGGGAGCTCAGAAGAAGCAATAAACAGGTAATGCAATGTCACCGATGCCACGCGTAGGACCATGCATAAACACATTTTGGTTGGCCTCATGGATGTTTGAAATGTGTTAAAAATCACATGACAAAAACCTGAGTAAAATATACGTGTGCGAACTGCAAAAGGGAATATCCCTCAAACTATTGCTCCTGAGCACGAGATAAATGAGTTTTATAAGTTAAGTTGGTAAATATGAAAGAATTAACAAAGGCAGTTCATAATCTTAATAACAAGCTTAAAAACTGCCAAAACGAAGTATTACTTCAATATCATAATTTTTTGGATAACATTAATGCATACAATTTCAAAAATTTAAGGGGGTTATGATTGACAACCTGTATTATTTTTAACAGGTCTGTTATTTTATAAACACACGGAAATAACAACCTGTTCGCAAATAACGTGTCTGTTAAAAATAACATTATTTGTCCATCATAACCCCGTTAATTCGTGGAGGCATCTAAGTAGAAATACACAATATAAATTCGACATCGTAGTAATAAAAGAAACATACCTAAAATCAAAACACAAAACAAAATTATACGACTATGACATACACAGACATGATAGGCCTAATAAAGCAAGTGAAGGATGTACCTTTTTTATTCAGAAGGCAAATTCCACTCAAAAATAATGTGTCATTAAGATTCCGTGAGGTTCACCTCTATGGTAGATTTGAACATATAAATAGTACAGGTAGGTCATATAACATTTATAGGGATCTTTAAAAACTATTGTTAGCCGGTAACAAAGTCCTCCTAATGGACAAACTACAGAAAAATCTTTGACCAAAATATTGAAATTAACAACGAAATAAACAAATCATTAGAAACAGAGAAACTGATAATAGCAATAATTCTAACAGCAAGAGAAAAATCTACAAAAATTACAAAAGTAAAACATCATCATGAACAACCTCTAAATGAAATAGAAGAACTAATAAAAAACTAAAATAAAATTAGGAAAAGACAGCAAACCAATAGGGAAGAGGAAGATAGATTCAAGCTATTAGATATTGCAAAAATATTCAACAGGAAAATCAAGGAATTCCGAAACGAAAAATTGCAAACGAAACTCAAATACATTAACACAAAAAACAATTCGGTATGGAAAGCAGTGAAATATTTTACCAGCAAGTTCGAGCAATCCCCTACACTTTAACAAGGACAGACAAAGCATGAAACAGATACACGGAAAGGGGAAGCACTAGGCGAATTTTTTTTAGAATATTTTCACTACATGTGAATAAGCGTCAACAAAAAATTAAAGATGAGGCGGAAAAAATCACAAAATGCTAATCCAAACAAAACTTAGTTTACGAAATCTAAAAGGTCCCAATTATGAATACTTACTAAAAATATTCAAATAGTAGTTACGACCTCTTGTCGTAGCAGGGCAGTATGAATTCGTCTCCGTTTTACGTATATGGAAGTACCTATTATATCGCTGGATTTTGATTTGGGTATTTGAATAAAGACTATTCATGTACAGAGATATAAAATTGCTTAAATCAATTAAAAAAAGAATAAAAAAAGTAAATTGAGTATACTTACGAATACTCATAACTTCCGTCAGGTCTAACATCGTTTTCGTATCTCAAAATTCTAGCGCCTGCCTCTACGCCGGTATTGTATCTGTAGTTTTGTTGATGATAATTGTTATTGTAGGGATCATACCTGTTGTTGTAGGCATCATACCTATTGTTGTAGGGATTATACCTATTGTTGTAGGCAGTGTAGTCATTATTATAATAAGGATTATTCCTGGAGTAAAGATCGTTTCTACGGTAAGGATCATTTCTGTATTGAGAATCGTAGTTATAGTTGTTGTTCCTGTATGGATTGAATGTATTTTGTTTATACGGGTAATTAGCAGATGCAGGAACTGGAGAGTCAACTGCAAAGGTTACAACAGCTCCTATCATAACAAGAAACCCCTGAAAAAAATAAAATGTGTAATAATAAAAAGAAGAGACATTTGTATGAAATTATAAATTGGGTGAGCAACTAGGAAATATTTTTTTGTAAAATGATTTATCAAAAACCCAGTATTCTAATTGAATCGTTGATTTTAGAAAAAGTTTTAATCCCAAACTATTTGATTAAGAGAAGACAGTTATTTCTTAATTTTAAATGGTACCTACTTAAAGCGGCTGATCAAAAAAAATAATAATATGATTTAGCAGCGTGATTTAAAATATATAAAGTTGAAAAACCGATTAACTGTAAACCCAGTATTATAATTATTAAATCGATGATTTTACATAGAATTCAATTAACAATCTGCCTGATAGTAAAGTAATTTCTTTATTTTTAAACTAATTTATAGCGTTTTACCAATATATGTGTTTGATACAGGACAAGGCACTATATCGGCAAAATTCATTTCTTATGGAATCAATAATATAATATTGATATTTTAAAGAATATGCAAACTAAGCTAGCCCCCTTATTCCTTTTCTTGAATCTTTTATTCCGTTTGTTGTACCTCTCGCGATGACATCGTCGAATTAATTTGTTCGTTTAGTGATTTAGTTATTTCCTTTAAATTTTTCATTATCCTCAGAATAATGCCCCAAAGAAAAAACAGGAATTGTCGTTCGAAGGACACAAAATATATTAAATACATATAATTGGCGAAGAGAATTGATCAAGTACACCTCGAGTACTTATTAAGACCTTATCTAGAATATCGTTATAATTATGCACTTGCTAGCATGGCTAACGGTCTTTTGACCCGTTTGTATGCCCAGATAAACATGTGTTTACCCAGTAAAAGGTAAGTTCTCTGCTTCTTCCGAAAGGTAGTAAAAGTCTAGCAAGTATAATATTGTCAAGTGACACATTTTTCGTAAAACGAATTATTTAAAAGTGTTTACTATCTGCAGTGCCTTATATCATAACGTGTAACTAGTATCCAAAGTAGGATACTTATTTATTTTAGATTCGCTGGGTTCAATTGAGTGTTTAATTATATAGGTAAATATGTACCGAAATAGATTATATTGCACGCCACTTCAATTATTATAATTATTGATTTGTATGTCAGATAAATATAAATTGTCTTATAGATATTATTTGAATACATTTTGGAGATTTTACGAGAATTTTAAATCCATGACAAAAATTTTAGTAAGTCCCGAGCATTCACAACCATTTCTAACCGCCAACTAGAAGAGACTAGTCCTATACAAATTGATTCAAATTTGATGTCGTTCTTAGGCGTTGATACTAACGAGAATAAAAAGTTGTAACACTTTTTGTTCCCTTTTTGAGACGGTTTTCATAGGCAAACGAAAGGTTACAAGAACACGACAGCTCTATTGCCTGGAAGCAGGGTTCGTGGGTTCTGAAAACTTTTAATAGTGGACGCCATTTAATTTTGATCTTATGGAAACTAAAAAAACAAAGACTAAATCAAAACAACTAGATCTTTCTAAAAATTCTTTAATGCCCTCCAGGCGAACGAAATACAAGTTCCAATACTTGATATTGAATGATTCTTTAAAATAATAACGACAGATGCCCACTCCTAACTAAAGTTAGTATCTGCTGATTTTCAATAGTTTAACCTTCTAAGGGTTTTATAAAAAATATATCCTTTAAATTAATAATAATAACAGATGCCTACTCCCAACTAAAGTTAGTACCTGGTGATTTACAATAGTTTAACCTTCTAAGGGTTTTATAAAAAATGTTTTTATTTTAAATTTTTAAATACATTCACAAGTCCACAGTTACTAGTGGCTTGAATGATTACTAGAAAATATGTACATATGTTTTTAAATCGTTATACCCCCTCCTACAGCTGTATTCGGTTCACACTATGTAATAACGAAGAATATTTATAAATTCTTAAGAAACATTTTTGTGTGAATAAAAAAATAAATAAAATTTAGTTACATAAAAAAATAGGCATTGCCCGGCACTTCAACTAAAAGTCAATCTTCAATATGGCACCAAAAAATTAACCTCAAATAAATGGGTGGAACTCACCAAAAAAATTATTGTGCTAGCACAAAACACACCTACTCCGCCCTAGGATGGGTAGACCTCGAAATGGTTTTTTCTTGGTTAGGCCCCATTTTGTATTGAAGACCAAAAGGAACCATGAAACCGCAGATGCACATCATTTTTAGGGAAGGTCCCCACGACATGGAAAACATATTTAGGGAAGGTTCCCAGGACATGGAAAACATCATTTTCCTGCTTAACATCCAAAAGGAGGCCCACAAAGGATCGGCCATTTTCAAGTTTTTTTTTATAACTTTTTTTGTCAAAGTGATCTTTATCAAAAACTATTATTTTTAGTATTTTAAATAGGTCGCCTGATATCTAAAATGAAATGAAAATGCTTTACCTTGATTTAATAATAAATTTAAAGGGAATATTTACCTCTGAAGAGATGACCTTTTTCGAAAAATAGAAAAATTTTAACGTCATGCGCTAGTTTGACTTGACTTCTTCAGCTCGCCAAAACCAAAGATAAAATGGTACCTTCTTGATCGTTTCCGCCTGTGCTCCAGAGAACACAAAAGTCATAAAACCGAAAAGACGAGAAAAACGGAAGTACGAGTCGGCCATCGAGAACCATACCAGTCACTTCGGAGTGGTACTGGTGTAGCCAGCACCTCAAAAGAACGGACTTAAGAATTACTTGAAAAACTTATCTGTTGTTAAATTGAATGATAGTGACAGTTACTTGGAATCAGGTTAGAAATATGTCAATAAACAATATTATTAAATTTATTAGGACTTATAAGAGGTAAAATAGATGACTAAAGGAAATAAATAATTAGAGATTAACGAGATTAGTGTACACTTTAAAAGTAGGTAACACGATTAAACCATGGCATTTATAATTAAAATACAATTTATTTATTTATGATAAAAATGACTAAACGAAAGGTATTTTTAAATGAAATACTATTTAATTTATTTGTAATAGGACTAAACCAATGGTATTTATAACTGAAATACTATTTAATTAATTTGTGTTAAAAAAACATACTTTTATTGTCAAAATTTAGTAAAAATCTTAAACGATAATCCATATAAATTTGCTATGTCTCACGTTCATTAAATCATGATTATTCTCAGCGCATATGAACGTTACAAAGTTTTCAAAAGATTTAAGGGAGGACGTAGCTAAAAGGTGTAGCACTCCAGAATCCAAGGGCACTATACCTAGGAGCATATCAAATAGAAGAGGAAGATTTACCTAACTTAAAGCCACTCCAAATCCTACAATTCCTTGCCGCGTTTCATAGGCCCTTACGGTCAATCATGAAAATATTTTGAACGTACCAATCAAAAAACTCAGGAATGTTCTTGAAAGTAAATGTATATAGGAAAGCTAAAATATGTTGTCAATAACTGGACAACTAACTATAACAGTCAAACAATTTATATATGAGGCATCAAAATTATTTTTAGTAAAAAACCACATCAAAAAACATTATCAAGAGTAAGTATTAAGAAGTTATAAAAACGTATATTTAAAAACGAAATTAATGATTTATTACATAAAGGAGCTATATCTCGTTGCAAACAAATATAAAGAATTTATTTATGAATATTTTTTGGTGATACAACCTAATGATAAGAACAGGTTCATCTTAAATTTAAAGATGTTAAACTGTTTTATAAAGGCTCTCCATTTCTGAGGATTATATGATAGCTTATAAGTAGAAATTGTTATTTACTCTTGATCGACTTAAAAGATGTTTTTTTTGTAACTTATACAAAACATATAATAACGTATTCTACGAGTTCAATTATCTATCTTAACGAAGCTCCGTATATATTTACAAAATGAATGAAACCGGTTATCAAACGATATTATTCTTATTTCAAACTCCAAAAGTAAGGGTAAAAGAATTATGTGGTGACAGTATTTGAAAAATTAATTTTTGGTAGTAAATTCCGATGAATGTAATCTACAACCATAACGAAAATAATGTTGTTTTGAACATAACAGAATAAACATGATGTTTTCTGTAAATATAGAAAATAAACAAACAATAAACAAGCTCTGTGAAAAATGTATAAATAGATCCACTTGTAACACAAGGCAATTTGCAAAATTTTTTTACTTTACTATCTGTATAGAGATATAAGGAAAGTATAGGAATCATGATTTTTTTCGACCTCGAGTTTTCGACGGATTTTTACGTTTTGAGGTCCCCTGAATATTTTCGCGGTGTGTGTGTGTGTGTGTGTGTGTGTGTGTGTGTGTGTGTGTGTGTGTGTGTGTGTGTGTGTGTGTGTGTGTGTGTGTGTGTGTGTGTGTGTGTGTGTGTGTGTGTGTGTGTGTGTGTGTGTGTGTGTGTGTGTGTGTGTGTGTGTGTGTGTGTGTGTGTGTGTGTGTGTGTGTGTGTGTGTGTGTGTGTGTGTGTGTGTGTGTGTGTGTGTGTGTGTGTGTGTGTGTGTGTGTGTGTGTGTGTGTGTGTGTGTGTGTGTGTGTGTGTGTGTGTGTGTGTGTGTGTGTGTGTGTGTGTGTGTGTGTGTGTGTGTGTGTGTGTGTGTGTGTGTGTGTGTGTGTGTGTGTGTGTGTGTGTGTGTGTGTGTGTGTGTGTGTGTGTGTGTGTGTGTGTGTGTGTGTGTGTGTGTGTGTGTGTGTGTGTGTGTGTGTGTGTGTGTGTGTGTGTGTGTGTGTGTGTGTGTGTGTGTGTGTGTGTGTGTGTGTGTGTGTGTGTGTGTGTGTGTGTGTGTGTGTGTGTGTGTGTGTGTGTGTGTGTGTGTGTGTGTGTGTGTGTGTGTGTGTGTGTGTGTGTGTGTGTGTGTGTGTGTGTGTGTGTGTGTGTGTGTGTGTGTGTGTGTGTGTGTGTGTGTGTGTGTGTGTGTGTGTGTGTGTGTGTGTGTGTGTGTGTGTGTGTGTGTGTGTGTGTGTGTGTGTGTGTGTGTGTGTGTGTGTGTGTGTGTGTGTGTGTGTGTGTGTGTGTGTGTGTGTGTGTGTGTGTGTGTGTGTGTGTGTGTGTGTGTGTGTGTGTGTGTGTGTGTGTGCGCTTTTTTCCAGCGTCCAATAAACTGATTAGATATTGAGCAGAGTCGGAACATCTGGGGGGTACTTCATAAGTGGTAATTTTTATATTTTAGGTAATATATCTGTTATTTATGTTTGGGGAAAAAAATTCTTTAAATAAAATTTACTTCTTATATTATTGTCTATAATTTTTGTTCCATACAAAATTTTCCTAAAATGGTCCGTATTAGAGAAATTTGAAAAAATTTAAAAAATCTTTTTTTATAAAAATTGTTCAAATAAAAGTTGTTTGTAATATAATTTTCTATAATTTTTATCCTATACATAATTTCTCTATGACGGACCGTATTCGAGAAATTTGAGCAAATTGTAAATTTTGAAATTTGAAGAAAACTCAAAAACAGACAAAAAAACATTAAATTTTAAAGTTTTATTTCGGCCTGACGTGAAATGATTAAATTTTGGACAAAGTCGGAACATCTGGGGGTACTTTATGGGAGGCCGTTTTTTATATTTTATGGAATATATGTCATTTATGTTTGGAGAAAAAAATTTTTCAAATAAAAGTTACTTCTATTATTATTATCTATAATTTATGTTAAAATTTCCTGAAGTGGTCCGTATTCGAGAAATTTGACAAAATGTGCAAAATTCTGATTTTTATGAAAATTGTTGAAGTAAAAGTTGTTTGCGATATCGGTCTCTATAATTTTTGTTCATGCATGATTTTTCTAAAATGGACCGTAATGAAAAAATTGTAGGTAATTTAAATTTTTCAGTATTTTCGTTTTCAATGAATATCTATAAAAAAATGTTTGGAGGTAGATGTATGTGGACACTGTATATATTTAGTTTATCCTCTAAACATTTATAGAGATGCTGCAATAGGTTGTACAAAATAACCGGAAAAAGCCTATAATAACTAGATAGGAAAGTCATGTGTTGGACACATCAGATTTTTGGAAAAATAATGGCAGGTGTAAAATATGGTTATGTACCTACATACCAAAAAATTAAAAAAGGTAAAAATGAAAGTGCTTCAAATTAATAATGGCAACTTGGGCAGGAAAATAACATTTTCAATATAAATATTTACAATGATTTAGCAAGAGATTTTTTCTGGCCTATTTAAGACAGGTCGTTAAACTAACGCTTCATGGACATACAAGCAAACATTTTCGCATATAAACCAACTCGAAATGTTAGATGCGTTCTTTGCATTTAGTTCTTTTGCCAAAGACCGTACAAATTCTTGTATATTATTTTGTACTGATAATGTGTCACTAATTTTTTAAATAATATAATGGATAGTGCACAATTCGAGGGGCTAGATAGAATGACAAATTTAATATGTGACTGGTGTGAAAATAAAATCAACTTTATGTTTGCATCATATATTGCTTCTTTGGCAAACTATATAGCCAACGTGGGATCCAGATCAAATTTGATAGACAGAATACAAATTAAATTCCTCTCTCTATAATAAAATTTTTAAAATATTTGGCAGGCCAGATATTGATCATGTTGCTGCTAAAAAAAAAAAAAAATAAAATTTATGCTTAATGAAAACCTGACTCAAACTTCATATTAGTTGACATCTTTACCATTAACTAATGGAAAAATTTGTATTCATTAGTAGAGTACTTAAATATTAAATGATGAATAAATAATAATCCTTTAACCCACTCAATTGTGGTGGTTCCATTTATTTGAAAGGTTTTTTAAATTTTTCAACGGCTATAATAAATATCTTCTTCTTTTAGCTTTTGGGAAACCTTATCTGCTACACAAAAACTTTTGCTGGCAGCAGGGAAGTTGTCCATAAGACGCAGAATTTCGAAAACAGTCATCCCAATATTGTTAACTTCTTTGTCGAGGCGACATTAAAAAATTATGATTCATGTAAAGCTAGGTGGTGAAAATTTTGCAATAAGAGTCATTCTAATTCGCTAGAGTATAATTTGAATCCTATTATTGATAATTTTATGCGGTAACAAGATACAGAAATTATCATATTCCACAATAAATATCCATAAATCGGCGCTTGTGCTTTTATTTGAAATCAATGCTGTTAATGAAAAATTATTAAAACGTTCCTAAAAGGCGCGTATGTAAAACATTAATCTTACAAAATTCTGTGCTGGATAAATTAGGTGAATTATATCATTTGGAAGACTTAATTCTGAAAGAATTGACCAAAAATGTAGTTAACTACAGCGCATAGGGCCCAAACAAATACATCTTTAGAAATTTTTTGGAATTTAATTTAGAAATAAGGATTTCTGACAGACTTATCTCGACTAAATAAACACCCAACCCTTTTTTAACTTTTAATCACCATCCTTCATTTTCACAGTATACATTTTTATCACATAGCACTCGACATGAATCTTCATCCGTTTGTTTTGCAATCAGAGATTGATCTTGATGCAATAAAAAATACTGTAGGATAGTTAGTCTTTAAGAGTGCTTGCTACTTTTTTACTAGACTGTCTCAGATAAGACATAATTTATTAAAAGTTGATTGCTAATTATTTATTATTTTAAAAAATGTAATGTAATTTTCAGTTTGTTAATAATAGTTAATCTATTTTTTCTGATTGA